AAAAGTTACTTACTAAGGAAGTCATAGGCAAATGATAGGCAGTGCATCACTTCATGAATTTAATTTTAAACATTTTTTTCCAAAGGTGAGCCAGAGGGCTACACTGAAAGCCTTGGAGGGCCACATTTGGCCCATGGGCCACCAATTGAGTATCAATGATCTATTACAACGACTCTTGGGTTTCTAATAGTTCTCATTATAGTAAGAAAAGTGAATGGAAAGCTTTTCTGTCAATAAATTACTTTCCAAAGGAAACTAGTTGAAGTAGGAATCCTTCATACAGAATGAAGAAAAAAATATATATATTAACCCAAAGGGCCCAGTGCTAATATTTCAATTAATTTGTATGCAATAGGTTTTTAAGAACTTTAAAATAGTATCTTATCTGGACAGTAAAAAGGCAGGCTTGTTCCATCAACTGTTGTAATGAGGATCCATGACAAAGGATAAGACATTAACAGTGCAGTGACAGGATATACAAGCACTGCACCAGTAAGGAAATGGTTAAGCAGCCCCATCCTGCCACACCTGGATATTTTTACTTTATCCTTTGGGAAAGAAGGGATTGGTAGGACAGGGCCGGCTCTAGGCACCAGCAAAGCAAGCACGTGCTTGGGGCAGCACATTTTTGCAGGGGAGCAGCGCCTGCACCTTGTGGCTGGGCCGGGTAGGCGCCGAGCGGGGGACACTCGGGCTGGGGGCCACTCCACGGGGCACACGGAGCCGCCTGAGGGTGGTCGCCCCCCAACACGGCGGCCGGGGCTTAGCAAAGCAGGGACTGCGGCAGGGTGGCCAGAAGCAGCAGCATCAGCAGGGCCATAGAGGGCAGGGCACTGCCATGTGGGGCCAGCATCCCAGTCTCTGGGGCTCTGTTCCCTCTGGGGCTGCCCAGACGGGGTTCCTCAGCCCCCTGCCGGGGCAGTCCCTGACTCTGTCCTCCCGGGTCCTGGCTGGTCCTGGAGGCGGGAGCCCTGGCTTGAGGGACCCTGGGCTGAGGCACAGCCGAGGAGGAGCCCCGCTGCTTACCCTGACCCTGCCAGCGCCAGACCGGTTGTAGGCAAGGGGGGAGCGGGCGGAGTCAGCACTGGTGTGGGGAGCCCAGGGCTGAGGCAGCAGGGTGTGTGTGTGGGTATTAGTGCCTACCGCTGGGCCCTGGATCAGAACCCATATTTTCTGCAGCTTGCCTGATGGGTTCCCTTAACAACCTCTAGGAGGTGCAGAAAGCCTATCTCTGGTACGGGGAAGCTAGGTGAAAGGAGGCTTTGGAGACAAGAGTCAAGCCCCTGAGACTTTCACCCAGGGGAGGGCTGAAGGGTCGCACCTAATCAATAGCATTATGCAATTTCTGGATTGTTTATATATGTCCAAAGGGGTGGACATAAATGTGTGACTTGAATGGAGGGCCAAGTCATGAGGGGGCAGACTACTAGAGTCAAAATGCCTGTCAATAAGTGGTGCCAGCAAAGATAAGAGCTTACTATGTCCCATACCTGACCAGAAGGGGGCACTTTCAGTGAGTGCCCTTCACAAATATATATTTCTCAACACATATTTCTCAAGACATTCTTTGTGTCTCAAAGAAACATATCGTTATTGGTCAGTGTTATCACAGAGAAGAAACTCAGCAGTTATGGAGACCTGGGTTCATTTCCCTCACAGAATTAACTGGAGTTTGGACCTGCAAACCCCATGTGGATTTATGTGGCTGGCTGGCTTATTAACCTTGTCATTGCCCCTGAGAGAGCAGGACTGCAGGTGCCGAATTAAACTCAGACTTGCTGAGATGATCACAGTGAAATGCAGTACGAAAGAAAATGGACAAAGGCCAAGACCAACCTTGGGGGGAACCTATGTCTCCAAACTGGCTCCCCACTTCTGCCACAGTTGGCACCTCTGACCCCCTTGTGGCCTTCTTGAGCCCCCATTCAGGTAGTGGGCCTCTACTCATCACTTTTCTCAATGTTCTTTTTTCAGAGTTCTTCTCCCGCCACACCAGGATTTTAGGCTGCAATTCACTGTGATTGTCGTTTAGTTCAGCACTGACAGTTCTATTCTCTCACGGACAGTGACAAGGTTAATCAGCCAGCAGCTTCATAACACAAAGTATTTATTTAGAACAAAAGTATTACAGAGGAAACAAATCATAAAACAATAAACAGCTTACTGCACAAGTTTACCTGGTAATACCTCTCTACAATTTAGTACATGTGGTGGGTCTCAGATCTTTAAAGTTTCTTCTTCACCTCTTGGTCATAGTGTCATATCAGTTCTTGGGTCGAGTAGTCAGAGTAACCGCTCCTCAATAACAGGCTGGCACTTTATACTGTTCTCTTCTTTGTTTGGATGGCCTTCTTTAATCAGGTCAAAGCAGTGTATACAATTTCTCCCCGGGGGGTAAAGCTCCTCTCCAGACTTGTCTGTCTGCCTAGGGATTTGCATTAATTATTCCCAGTGATTGATTTAGGTCCCCCTCTCCAACCTGGTACAGTGATTTTTAGTTCCTATAGCCTCCTTCCCACCCTCCATCCCATATAACAAGTACAAGATACACATAACAGTTATGAAGCTGAGACATTGTTTTTTGAATGTTCTGTGATTCCATTGCTCAGTCCATAGGTTGATAGTCTTCCATAATATATTCATGCTTATGTGACATCACCCTTGCATGGCTAGTCCTATTTCCAAAAAGAAATTAACCCTTCACAGCCACAGGTAACAGTACAAGGAGGGAGACAAAATTGAGTCCCACTTTTTTTTATTAAAATAAATAAGAACTTTCCCAGTTCTTAGAGCTTCCTGTTTTCGCCAATGGAGTCATGCTGCCATGGTTTCACCTATTGTCACTTCACCCAAATCCCTTCTTAGAAGACGGAGGTTTTCAGAGAATAGATCACAGACATCAAAGTTCATCTTGATTCAATCACTGTTAACTTTGTTGTGGAATACCTGCAGGGACTGAAGGAAGGATGATGCCTGGAGAAAGTTTGCCCTCTTTTCCCTTTTTTGTTTAATATTTGAAACTATTGTGAAATGCTCGTAATCTCTGGCCTCATTGAAGACATTGGCATCATGAAGTCATATTCATGTTTTGCTAAAACTAACGGTACATATTTATTTTCATAATTTGCAGGGGCATCCTTTGAGTTCACACATACATGACTGTGTGTTAAAAAGACTGTAACACATCGGATACCCGATTATCACTTGCTCCTACATATTTCCTTAGCATATGCATATTTCACATTTACATTAGCACATTGCTTCACGTTTTGCCCCAGCTTGATTGACATTCAGCATACTAAATTACCTCCGTTCTTGAATATCTTAAACTGATTATAGCCTTGAGACACCCTCTGATAAATGGCTGTGTTCTAATTTTCAGAAGCAAACATTCTGATAATCAAAGGAACCTTCTGTTTATACTCTTCTTGTTCGGCAGCATCACTAAACTGCTTTTAAATTAGGCTGGGAGCATTTAAAATTTATAGGCTTATAAATACTATTATCTAGTTTCATGTTTGAAGTTACAAATCCTTTTTATTCCATGTCACTTATTTTGTTTTAAATTTACCCAAATTTACATATCCTCTGATAGGCCTCTATTCCAAAACAATCATGGTTTGCGGAAATCCCTTATACACACACACACACACACACACACACACACACACACACACACACACACACACACTACTT